TGCCTTTCGTAATCAATAAAAGATGCACCAAAATCACCTGTGGTATGACTTAGGCCACTCAATAATTGGTTTTTGAATCTGGGCCACACGACGGTGTATAGGTATCGCCAGGCTAGGAAAGTAAACTGCATCACAAGGTAAAAAGAAAAGATCAGTCTTATTTACAGAACTCTGCAACCATCTGAGCTTTAAAGCCTTTACCATAGAGAGGCATTTGCTGGGTGCGCATTATGTATCGATGTAGCAAATCAGAAGTTCCAAGACAGTCCAAGCAGCTAATCTTTAAATAAAGGAGATTACACATTTGTTATTTCAGAACATAACCGCACAAACATACAGAACAAAACAGTCATAGGGATTCAAAGTCATTAATTAGCCTTACTGTCTTGTCCATCACTGGATCATGGTAGTGGAGCTGCAAAATGTTTTCATGTATACCATCAAAAATCAAATCATAATCACCCCTGCACATTCAGTTAAACTTAAGGATGAATAGACAAAGCAGAAACGTTATGAAATATGAAAGAAAAAATCATTGTCGTGTACATACCGACTGGATACGAGAGTGTGTAAGAAGTCAAAGTTTTTGGCCCCACTGCCAGAAGCGTCATTAGATCGTTCTCGTTTCATTTTTCTCGTGGTGAATATCTAAAACGACGAAGCAAGCTTGGATATAAAATGAAGTTATCTGTCAGTAAAGATTGCTACGACACTTTAATTGGGCTTACCTCTTTCCAGATATCAAACAGACTCTTTGACATGTCTTTCCGCCCAACAACTTGAGATCCAATGTCAATCTAAAAGAGAAAGAATGAGGCGGTTCTTAGCTTATCAGAAGGCTAAATCCCCAAGAATGGGAGACCAAATAGAAAGTTAATTGCCTAAAGAACAAAAATGTTGAAAAACTATTACAGTGTTCCTAGCTGGATGGGCCTAATTAACTCATTAAATACATAAAAGCAATTGGTTTTCAAAAACTAATGACGGCTCATAAGTCCAGCAAGAGATTTTGTATTTTAGTTGGCAAGGCGCCGAGCAGTTTTTTCTCTTCAGTTTAGAGTCTAGTAAAGTTAGATTTTCCAGTGAGTATAAATCAAATCGAAAGTGGAAAACACATAGCCAGTGCAAGAAGGGTGTCAAAGTCTCACCACATTGATGGTTTCTTTCTTCTTGTAGAGAAATTGCAGTGTGTTCAAGCAAGAGCGAATGTCACATTCTGTAACCACCAAATAAAAGGCAAAAGATAGCAGAATCATTTAGGAAACAAATACACGGCTAATTTTTTCTCTAAGAAAATTAAGATCACACTAAGAACCAAATTAAAGGGAGATAGATACCAGTGTACTCCGCAAGAGCACTAAGAGCGAATGATCTTGCTTTCATCCCCTCCATATAACAGATATACTTGAGCCTGTCATTTGCACACATCTCAGCCTAGTAAGGCGATTTTGATAGATAAATAAAATCAGGGAGAAATACTGACTTTAATATGAATATAGGTCACTGGTTCTTATCCAAAATACTCGCTAACCATGATAGCAATGAGATGTGCTGCATCATTTCATAGTATTTTACAAATTTAGTCATATCTTGTGGAATGATAAATTTCCAGACTCTCAATTCAGAGTTGAAGATAGTCTTACAGGTGACTAACAGTTGGATTAGTATTTACCAATGGCCGTAGCTTCACCAAGATAAAACAAAATAATAAAGAAACTTAGAAGAGTTCTTCTTCGCACACAATAGAGTAAGAAATAGTTACCTGTTTACCACACGACTCACCGTTGGTTGAACAAATATATGAACCCTGCAACAGAAGCATGGGGGCTTATCATCATACTAAGAGAATATTTCTCTAGAATAAGCATATGATAAGCAGAAATAGCCAACATGTACTGAAGAGAGTTTAACATTTTGAAATCAGTATGCTCTACGTAAAAAAGTGCTAGCTTCACCACATAAACAGGAAAAAGAGGCCCTTAAAGCCAACAGAAAGTTGAACTCACTTTGCTATCTGTCGCAGAGGCCTAAGTGCTGGTGCATATAAATCATTACATATACAAATCACAGGTCTTGATAGTGGTGCTGTTCGGCGCTCCTTCTTCGAGGAAGTCTTTACATTCTCTATATTTTCCTTGCCAGTAGCATGCTTTCTTTCTGCCAACACCTATGCAGGGCAAAGACACAATTATATACTTACAAATGCTAATACATATACATTTCCAAATTGGTCTCCAAAAGGAGAATAAAAATTCAAGAAATAATTAAGAGAATCAAAGAAGGTTTGGAGTTAGCAACGTAAGATAGGAATAACCAAAAACCTTCGTGCAGTTACTGAGACTGGGAAAGAATGACAGTTTAAAGGGTTATAAAAAGGTTAAACAAGCAAAGAGTTGATACTAAGTACACGCCACACTTAACCTAAATCTCAGTACCAGTATACATATACATACCATCTTTAGAATAACATCAACTGCTCCTTTTCCATCACCAAGAGCTCCATCTATCTCATCAATCACCTACATAAATTAGTGTCAGTCTCTTCCACTTCAAACAACTTGGAGTAATACAATTCGACATAATGAAAAAGGTCCCAAGTGAACAAAGAGTACGTAAGGCATACCAAACATTTAGGTCTAGAATCAGCTGTAACCGAGTTCATCTGAACTACGTCAAGAATTCTAGTTTCAATGGCTGATGCTGATCGCTCGTCGCTAGCATTGATCTGCAAAATAACACAGGATGAATTAAACCTAATACACAAGAATAGAAGAATCCATTCATTAAGGAATGCTGTCATGGAAAGTAAAAGGTATACAAGAATACCTCAACAACACGATATCCACAATGCTTAGCTGCAATGTGAGCAAGCGTTGTCTTGCCAAGTCCAGGGGCACCACAAAGCAGAAGGATCTACAACAACAGTGAAAATACGATTTTTACAACTGATGCATACTTATGGTTATAGTACAAGACAGCCCAGAAGAAGCTTATAAAAATAAACTTGAAGTCTAGATCAGTTTATCGCTCGCCTTTTGCTCAGGAGGACCAGTAAGTTTTGACTTTTTGTTCCACAAGTCATTATTATCTGCAGTGTTGGTATTGCTCACGTCTGCATTTTTAGGATATCTAAAACTCTCCTTACTCCATCTATTGAACTGTTTTTTCCTTGTAAAAGCTGAATCCGATTTTTGATGATGACTTGAGGTAGAATGTCGTTTCAAAGCTGACAATACTTCCTCTGTCGTGCTCCTAATTTCAGATCCAAAAACAGAAGCGTCCCACTGCTTAAGCCATAACAGAACCTGCAAATAACATTAATAACGGTCAACTACTACAACAATTAAGCCGCTGTCTAAAATCATTCTACTGATTCTTGATTCATCTAATTTACCAGATTCATCACCAAGAAATGAACAATACCTCTCGATTGGTCTGCTCATCACTAAGAAGCTCAGTAAATGAGCTTGGAGAATATTTGTCAACCCAGAGTTTCTCATGCATTACAGATGCTTCTGCAGAAATGGTTTCATTCTGATCTTCAGAACTAGCTTGCAAGACCTTGTTAAATGCCTCTTTCTCTGATTGCTGCAAAAGAACACTGATTGGATCTTTAATAAGCCCTGCAAAAAAATTAATGAATGATATAAGTTACTACCGAGAAAATTGGAGTTCTTGTCAGAAGATTGTATGCCCCATTAAGAATCGAATGGTGCATAAACAGCTAAGACCATCAAATAACATATTCTAAAGCTAATCTGCTCTTAACTTGCATTAAAGAGTTTCTTAGATTGAACTTCAAAGACAATTTGGGAAACATAAATGAAAACTTAATACCATGAGACTTGTCATTCACATCCAATTTCTTCACCTCTTCATCTCCCAAAGCCCGGCAGAATTTCGCATAAACCCTCTCTCCTCCGTCCGGTGCCGTGATCGGAACGCATTCCCCATCTATCTCAGAAGCGTATCTGCAAATTCCAATAACGAGATTACTAAAAAAGAAATCAAAACTTCCGAGTAGGTACGTCTCATGAACAGTATAGTAACCTGGACAAAATAGTCTCCTGGGGAATGACAACTTCTTCCTCCTCCATAACGTGAACTACTTCCTTAACCGGCGAGAAGCGTAACCAATCCTCATCTTCAATTTCTACCCGGTTAGCATCAATTTTGCTTCTCTTATCAGAAGCTGGAGAGACTTCGTCGAGATTCACCATCGGATCGGAGATTAGACTCCTGGGTCGTTTACAACCGTTGATATCAGATGATTCCGATTGTCGGACATGAGGCTCCTTCTGCGCGACGCGTTCTTCTTCTTTTTCTTCATCGCCGTCAATTGGGTAAGGATATGGCGGCTCCTCGAAGTTTAGGTAGTCGTCTTCTTCTTCTTCATAGAAATGAGAATTGGCTTCTAGAAGCTCAAGCTCTTCCGGCAATGGGATATCGAATTCCATTCTCTGATATGATCGGCCGTATCGGAAACTTTGTTGGGATTGGTGCTCCGTGAACAAAAAAGTGAAATCGGAATCTGGTGTGAGCTTGAGCGGGAATGAGTGTGTTTTAGCGGGAAAGCTGTGGATGCAGGATCTCAAATTAGGTTTTTCGGCCCATTAAATAAAATATTCGGCCCGCTTCTCTAAAATAGCCCAAATTTTAGCACCGTTACGCCTACGGATTGTTGTTTCTTGATTTCTGCTACTGATATCAACAACAAATTCTGTATCTGTTTCGCTACAACATGTATTGGTTGCTCCTAATGGTAAACACGTAAATTTGGACTAATAAACGACCCAACGGCCATCAAGATACTCAAACGTTCTGGCCAGTCCCTGAAACGGAGGTTGTCGGAATATAATCGAGGGGTATGACTTAACTATAAATATACTACCGAGTCTCTAGTAACGATATAGACAGGGCACTACTCTTGTATAAATTTGAAGTTACCACCTCACATCACGCCGTATAATGGTCAATATAATCATCATTATCACTATCAATTTTTTATCATCATCATCACAATGCAATCTTCAGTCAACAAAATCATTTAATAGTTTCGGATCTCTTGTCAAATACTGACTGGTTCGCAAGGGATCGATGTCATCAGATGCAAGCAACATAGCAAATGAGTAGCATACATATATGTCTATCTATACAAAACCAATTCAAGCAGAAACATTAGAATAAGGATCGAACAATAAAAGAGAAGGCAGTTTTGAATTTTCTGGGCTTAACACTTAAACCCATGGCAAACTGAGAGAACGATGATGAGAATCAGTGCGATAATGATGGCGAGCACTATGAGTTTTATCTTCATGTTCTGAAGCCACATCTTTCTTCTCATCTGCGTTCCTGTTGTTCTGAAATCTTGTGCCTGTAACAGTTGGAGTTTAGTTAGACACAAGATACGATAATAGGATGAGCCAGCTGTGAACTCAAAAAGCATGTTTGTCTTTGTGTGTGAGTGTAGACATATAAATGCAGGACATAAGGGCATGAGAGAGTATAACCTGTGAGCGAAGATTTTCGGTTTTGTCCACCAAAAGCTCAATTTTCTCACCACGGTCAAGAACCTGCAAATAATGAGTTGCATATGTATGCGGTGTTACATTAGTAAATTGGACAATTCCCTTAAGATGTGATGCATTGAATAATTAGTAGTTACCAAACCAAGAGATTTCACAGTAACTTAGTATTACTAAATGAGCTCTTTCGGATGGGTCAATCATAGATATAAAGATATGCATTGCCGACGAGAAAAGGTCGGATTCAAACCTTCTCAATGTTTTCCATCATTACACCCTTAACTTCTGACACTTGCGCCTTCACCTTAGCAAGCTTGCTAATCTCATCTGGATGATCCATGCAATACTGCATATGCTCTTTCAGTTTAGAGCTTCAGAGTTACCAAAAAGAGTTAGTCCACGAAAATAAAAGAGAAAATCATCGATATCAATAGACAAGATCAAGAAAAAAGTATACCCAAACTCCTTATTCAAGCTGTTTGCTTGAGCAGTTGCAGCTTTTCCACCACCATATCTCTTGTTAAAATCCTCTTTTACTCTTTCCAAAAAGGCCATCGGAATTTGCCTCCCAGCAGAATCAACCGCAACAACACAATAGGCTGCACAACAGGAACAAAATCAATCTCACATAGCAGATACAGCAGAAGACATTCTCTTCCGGGATAATCAGGTGACATTGATTCAATTTGAAATTGATATGGCCAATCAGACCCCAGATTCATTGAAAAATAACGCCACGCGACCTAGGAAACTATATGCAAATAAAGCAACCAGTAAAAACCCTATCCCAGATCAATGTTGGTATTCTTCCACATAGTATCAACCAAAGCTACCACGGATTCCATCCAAAAACTGAGTGATAATACAAGTAAGACTCTGCAGAGATCTGTTGCAATTAAAAAAATACAGATCTAACCCTAAAACCTTGGTTCATGCGGTTCCTCAGAGAAATCAGACTACTCAGAATGCAAAAATCCACACGAATCGATAGATAAAGGTTAGGAAAATTAAGAGACAAGCCAAATAAACCTAGACACAAATCGATGTAAGAACCGAGTGGTGTAAGGTTTAAGAATACATCAGAACCTATGCATAGATCAAACGATAACGGACTTACTGAATCCATCTTCGACAAGGTAGTTGAAGGTATGACCGTCGCAGTTGTAGGTGAACTTGTTGTTGGAAGACGGAAGCTTCTGGAGGCACTGAGCAGCGATTGAGGTGAAATTACCTTTGAAATCAGTGAACTCCACGAGGATCACCGTGCCGCGAGCGACGAAACTGTAGATCAACGATTGTTGCGCCATTTTCTCTTTACCTGAATCTCCGATCCAATCGACCGCCCGATTAGAGAAACTTTATGGCCGGTCGCGGAAAAAAACTACAGATCTAGAAGACTAAACAACAACAAATCGAGGACTAAAGTGGACAAGGGAGAAGAAAAAGTAGGAACGGAGACAAGGGTAATGTAGTCATTTAACGTAGTCAGATTGGGTAAAAAAATAGTATAAAGCCTAGAAGTTAAGGACTAAAAAACAATTTCAAAAGCTCGAGATCAAATCTCGAGAAATTTGGACCCGCCCGGATTCAGCCAAAAAGCTCGCGGACTCTGCGGATGGCACAAATAGTAATTTACCAATTTTAGGACAAGTTCAGGTCCCATGGTCGAAGAGAAACACAGAGTCTGTCTCTGTCTTCCTCAAAATATCTTCTTCTTTTCCAAATTCACCATTGAATATTGATCCCAGTCTTAGCTCAGTTACTACTAATTCTTATTGACACTTGGATGTTGACAAGAAACAAATTCTAACTCAATTGACCGGAGCTCATAGCCATAGACTCATAGTATCTGTTACAGCAACACAAGTAGAAGTTCTACCATTTATCTAATAGTGTCTCTGCATTTCTCTAACCACACTATGTTTTTTGTAACGTGTTCCTATATATTTGATCAACCTAGGTTGTGATTAGAACTTAGAAGGTTGGTGAATTGGAATGCAAGTAAAGGTTATGTTGTTGCAACATTATCAATTGAACATTCTTTAAGTAACATTACTATCTTTTAGAAATTCTCAATTACAACCGAAAACAAATGAAATAAGTGTAACGTATAAAATTTAACAGCTCAATATCCTTTACACATTGCAATTTTCTTGATAAAAATCACTATATATTCGAATAAGGTCTATTTAACATTTGAACTGAATTCGAGCCGTAAAAAGGTGAAAATACGACTAATAATTAGACATAAATATTTACAACAAAAAAGGCAATTAATTAATTCGACAATACAAACGATAATGTTTCCTTTTATTTTCTTTATATATATAAAATTCAAAATTTGAACGTTAGCAAAGGGAAACTTATCTTCTCTGGTTTCTCGCGCAAATCGAGCGTTCTCAGATAGTTTCTCTTCTCCGATCTGTGCGTCCTGCTCTCTCAATCGCTACCCCTCGTTCCCTTGTGTATTTTTACATCGTACTAATCTCTCTGATCAATTCGATTGGCTTTTTTTTGTGGTGTTGTTAGGGTTCGTTTTTTTTTTCTTTTTCTCATCTGGATAAAAGGAAGAATGGGACAACAATCGTTGATCTACAGCTTCGTCGCTCGCGGTACGGTGATCCTCGCCGAGTATACCGAATTCAAGGGCAATTTTACGTCCGTCGCTGCTCAGTGCCTCCAGAAACTTCCGTCATCGAACAACAAGTTTACCTACAATTGCGACGGTCACACTTTCAATTATCTCGCTGATAATGGCTTCAGTAAGTTTCCATCTCCCGATCTGAAACACGTTCGCATGTTGATTTCGCTCTGTATTTCTCTGTTTATTCCACGATTTCTTTGTTCGTTTTTGAATGCTTAGTTTCGATCTATATATATAGTTCGCGATCTCTTTGGGTTTCGAAGGATATTGGTTACATTCGATTCTTGTGGAATTGTTTACATATGTGAATCCTTCCTTATGTCCCGATTCATAAGTTTTCGGGCCAAATATATGAAGAGTCTTAAGCATGTATAAGGTTATTTTTCCTTGCATGTCTTAGTCTTTGGTCATTTGATATTTTCTTCTGTTATTGTTATTACAGCCTATTGTGTTGTTGTTGTTGAATCTGCTGGGAGGCAGATACCAATGGCTTTCTTGGAGAGAGTCAAGGAGGATTTCAGCAAGAGATACGGTGGTGGAAAGGCTTCCACTGCTAAAGCCAACAGCTTAAACAAAGAATTCGGGTACTTTTAACATTTATAATCAGCATTTCTTCAATTCCATCTTTGTAGATGTGTTTTCAACTGGTTTTGTTGTAATGAATGAAGGTCTAAATTGAAGGAGCACATGCAGTACTGTGCGGATCATCCTGAGGAGATTAGCAAACTTTCCAAGGTTAAGGCTCAGGTGACTGAAGTGAAGGGTGTTATGATGGAGAATATTGAGAAGGTTAGACTAAATTATCCATGTTTTCCTCGAAACTTCTCACGTGTTAGCTGAATGTGTTTTCTGCAATTCAATCCTATGGTAGGTCCTTGACCGTGGTGAGAAAATCGAGCTATTAGTAGACAAAACTGAGAACCTTCGCTCACAGGTTAATAACCAAATCTCTAATACAGTATAGAGACACTACATATAGACTCTTATCAAGTGGTATAACATGCTCTTCTTTTTCTGAATTTGTTAAAAGGCACAAGATTTTAGAACACAAGGAACAAAGATGAAAAGAAAGTTGTGGTTTGAAAACATGAAGATAAAGCTCATAGTCTTTGGCATCATCGTCGCTTTGATTCTCATCATCATTTTGTCGGTTTGCCATGGCTTCAAGTGTACTTAAAACTCGATTCCGATGGATCAGACCACCCACATTGCTACTAAGTTAATTAGAATCATCCCGGTATAGTTATTCCCTTTTATCCTTCTCTTTTGTATTTTTCCTTCTTCTTTTAGGCAAACAAAAAGTGACTTGGTACCAAGAATGATACTTAGGAAATCATCTGTTTGGAAGAGAGATTTAAGCTCTTTCTTGTGTTTACTTATTATATAGGTTAGGCCATTATGCTTTTGTAATGTACAAGTCTAATGATCGGTTTTAATTTCCTTTAACTAAATTGACACATTATCTGATAGTGCTCTATTTTATGGATATAACGTCAACTACTTGGAATGAGATCATTTGACATTGCAGTAATAACAGACAACAACACCCAAAAAAGCTTACAAGAGGTAAACTCTCTATTGACTACATTCTTCTACCCATAAAAAAAGTTCCTATTCAGTATTCAAACCATCAATCCAAACACACAGAGAATCATCAACAAGCCAATTGATCTCTCAGTGGTAAGATCTCTTCGAAAATCGGAAGTCTTCTTGTCCTATAAGGCCTCCTCCATTCCTTCACAAACTCATCAAGTCCTTCGACAACTGCTATCTCATCCATACCAACTTCACATTCCACAGACACAGAAGCTAAAGCCGCTGCTTCTTCTTCCTGTGGCTTTAGCTCACTCAATAGCTCTTGAACCCGAGCCATCAACCTCGGATCACCAGACCCTTCTTTGTTCTCTGTTAGTACATCGCGAAAGATAATCGTCCTCGCCTCATCCTGCTTCCCTTGCTTAATGAGACATGTGCATAAATTGCAAGCCTTGTTTGCATCTGGCTCTATCAATTGCGCTTTCCGGTACACAGCTTCAGCTGCTGTATAGTCCATTAGCTGCATATAAGCCCATCCCAAGTTCCCCTGTAACACCACATTCATTCAAATCCATCAGCTCATTGATCAAGAGACTTGAGAAATATAATCAAAACTAAAGACTAGCAGTGAGATTAATCTTACCAAAATCCTAGAGGTTTCCTTCTCGACCGTGACCTGAAACTTCTTGCCATGAGATCTCGCAGTCTTTGTTGGTTTGCCATTGAATGCTTCTCCTTGATATATCATCCAAAGCTTTTGCTTCAATAACTCAACTTGCTCTTCTATTCTCCCACATTTCTGCTCCGAAATTCGGAAACCCAAGTCTGTCAATTTTACTATCTAATAAAACAGTAACCTAGAGAAACACGAGAATGGTATCGGCCAGAGTTTATTTACCTTATAGAGATCGATGAGGACATTGTCTAATGATTCTTGAGCTTGTCTGGAACAAAGATCTCGAAAGGATTGAATAGCGTCAATGGCTTCTTCAGCTCTGTTCTGTTGTTTCATCAACAAGGCCATGTCTTTAAGAGCACTATCCACTCTATCTCTCGCTTCAATCGCTCTCCAAAACAACTCTATCGCTGCTTCTGCATCTTTCTCCACCAACTGAAAACAAACATCAAATCCAAAATCTAAATCAGTTTTCTCAGCCAAATCACAAATGTAAACTCGATTCCGTTTGATAAAAATCACAAAGTCGTATATATATTCTTTACCTGAACATGCTTCGCTCGGACATAAGGACTGTCTCCGTGAGGCAACTTATGGACAACGTTGTACGCCGCCGCCGACGAGTCTTGTCTCTCATCTCCTACTCTCCTCTGAATCATCATCATCGCAAACTCTGTATCTCTGATTCTAAAAGAAGAAACCTACTTTATCTCTCCTAAATCCGGTAACACCTTTTGTCTCTCTCTATGCCTATGAGGTTGTGCGTGAGGAAATAATTATATTGTGGAAGAAGAAGAAGGAACCTAGACAGATTCTCGTCCTGGTACATTATCGTCAACTGGATCTAAAATACCGCGGGCTGGTCGTTTTTTTAACCTATAAAATATTGCCACGTACCATATCCGTCCCCATTATTCTCACACGATTTCGACTTGGCCATTTTTTTTTCAAATCTAGTTCATGGAGTAGTTGTTATTTGTCCTCATAAATAACGCCCATCCTCAACTGTATTCTGCTGAATATATATATAGAAATTAACAAAATATATACTGTGGTTTTCATTTTTTTTAAGAGATATTTCGCCCACTGTTTCTAGAAAATGGTTATTCTAATTAATTTTGTCGGTAATTCAAAATATTTATATAAAAATGTCCGATGGTTTTTCCAAAGTCTGAATTTTTTGACCGGTGAAAATCCGTTATGCTTTTATTATTTCTCTAACATTTTCCCTTTTATTAGATCTTATGATATTCAATTTTTTTGTTTTGGATTTTTTTTTTGATAATTTTGTTTAAATTAATGTTCAGTAATTCCATAATTATGTGTGAAACTCAATGTTGCATGGAAACGGAAACAGAAACGTGGAAGCGAAACGTTTCGAAAACGGGAAACGATTTTTTTCTAAAATTAGGGATCAGAAACGTTTTGGAAACTTATATAATATATGTATATATATAACATTAACATAAAACTATAAAAAATGGTTTAATTAAACAATACAAGTCCAAAACATTAATATTAAATAGGTTAACTAAAATTCTAAAATATAAAGATCAAAAGATTCAAGTTCAAATATTTAATTTTTAGACCAACAATTTCATTCTCATTTTTATTAGTTTAGATCATATAAAGATGCTTCCAAATCTAGTTTATCGATAGAAAGATCTTAAAACTCAGAGTCTTCCAAAATTAGTTATATGTATTATAAATTTTAATATTTTTAACTTTTATTTATTAAGTTTCCAAAGTCAATAAAAAGAATTTGTCGCGTTCTATTTTGGAAACGTGAGTTTCCATCGTGTTTCCAAACATAGATTTTTAGGAATCGTGTTTCCGTGACGTTTTTCGTGTTTCCGAAGAGTTTCGGAAACGGACCTCAAAGAGAGTTTTGATGCAACATAGATGAAACTAGATCAAATCATAGCACCTAACGTCTATTTTTATTTTTTGGGAAACGTTATATCAAAACAATTATCTCGTTAAGTGTGCATTTCGAAGCAAAGAGATGGGCCTACGTGTTAATCAGGTGGCCGTACGTGTCGCGTTTACTTTTCGCAAAAGACGACTTGGCTTTGTTTTAAATTAATATTGGGTCCAACAGTTTTTTAGTTATTCAATTTGGCCCCTTTTGTTTGTTTAGCTGTAAATTTGTGAATAAATCCTTGGTTCAAAAATATTACGGATTTGTTAATGTACCATTATATTTTGTAACAAAATCTTGTGGAAACATTATACTCCCAAGCTATAGTGGCTTGGTTGCATGAAAAGAAACCAAGAATAGGGTGAAAATGTTACATTTAAAAAAGGTGTAAATAGGCTAATGGAAACATCATCATGATAATTCATTCCAACGCCACGCCTTAACATACTTTGTTAGCTGTTATTATTACCATCTATGGCCCAAATGCATCTATCATCTTTTTTTGTTTGTGTATAAACTATACTAGATATAGTAAGTTGTGTGTATAAATATTGATATACTAAACATGATCAAGTTCATATTTCATTATATATATTTTTGAATGAAGTGCATATTTATACGTACGTACTACGTTTAGTATACACAATGACACATGGACAGATAGATACTCTCGTATACAAACAAAAAAAAAGTAGATGACAATGCAAGTTTAGGCGACACTTATTAGTGATATACACACATATTTAGTATATTGTAGACACAAATAGAAAGACGATGATGGACGTTCAATCGGTTGGCTATTGAGCTAATTAGTAGCTAAATGTTTTTTTTTTTTGGTTTTGGCAGAGAGCTAAGTAGCTAAATGTTACTGACAAAATTTATGGATTTTGTTTTTGATATAGTTGGCGATGATTGATATGGTTTATATAGTTTAAAAGATTAGAACTAGTGCTTCTTGATATAATAATTTAGAACGCTCATCTGGACCAACTACTTCTACATTGTTTGTTTAAAGATCCAATACGAACTCAAATTTTCTTTAAATGAAACCGAAATCGAAAACTTGTTGAAATAAAAAGCAAGAAAACCCCACAAAAGCGATCCATATGCCAAAAATGCATCATTGCCTAAACCCACAAAACATTAAACACTAATTACTCTTTCTCTCCTTTTCTCATGCCTTTCTTCTCTCATTTTCTTTCAAGCCTAATCACACAAACCCCAAACACAAGTTTTTTTTTAAGTTAAGAGAGATTCTTTGTCTAGTTTGCGTTCGATTGAGTACTACGGGTGACTGGGATCATTAGTTTGGACCACCTGGCGACATCAACGAGAGAAAAGTGTTCGGCTTTAGTCCGGTCTTGTTACGTACCGTCAAGGACTACTTGTTCTGACGAAATTATTAATAAATCCAACACGAAAGACGAAGATGGTCAACTTGGCTCCCGAGGAGGAGGAGGAAGACGGCGCCGACAGCATCAACCGCCTAAGAGACACGGTGGAAGAAGCTGCACGGCCGTCTCCAGCGAGCCTTGCCGTCTCAAAAGCAACCTCAAGATGAGGACAGAGGCCGAGAAAAGCTTGGAACAGAGGAAAGTAAGCTGGCCTGATGCTTATGGCAAAGATATTGCTCATGTTCAAGAGTTTGAGCTTAGGTAATCTATACACAACCACTAAATTTTTTATGTACCGGTTATTAGGAATACCTTTAGATACCGGTTTACCTTAGAAAGACGTTAATCTGCGTTTGTGGAATATTATTTGCAGCGCATCGGAGGACGGAGAACATGCAGGAAATTCTAGAAGAAAATACTGTGGTGTCTGTAAAATCCAGTGACATTATTATCTTTTTGTGTTACGTGTTTTGTTTCTTAGCACTGTGTCTGAAATGTGTTGATTTTAGTAAGAGAGTTTTTCGTAAATCCATCATTGAGTATAAACACTCAACTTTAAGGAACTCGAGCCGCTTGAGAGTCAGAGTTTATAATCGAAAACAATTCTCGATCTTTCTACAAGAGATCTCATACAAAGTTTTCAAGAATCTCTATCAATTTGATCTCATACCAACAATTGCTGCTTATTCCAAGATGATGATGATACAGAGATATAATAATCATCTCCAACGATTAAAACCAGATGACAAAGAAAGAATCATAATTAAGCAAATATAAAGTCACAACAACATTAACCCACATCACTCCCTCAATTTCCCCCGCTATATTTAATTGAATTTGTTTTTCCCCTGGTTTATTAGTACAAGAACCAGGAAAAAGGTTTGATTTGTTTTTCACTTTTCCAGTAATAATAATCTGCTAGATTTTTCCTACTTTGAGTATTTATGTTCTCAGAGACAAAGAAAGATCATTTCTTACTTGTGTTTTCTTTTTCTTCAGCTGTTCTGAGATGACTTGCCCTTCTTAGCTTTATTCTTCTCTTGGACCTTCTTTTTCTTCTCTTCAGCTGTGATCCAATTGTATCCTCTTGGAATTGCAAATGGGTCTTGATCGTTTTCGGCTTTACCAATGTTAAACCCTGCAGAGCTCGAGCTTGTTGATGGACGTTGGCTCGGTGTTTTGATCCATTGAAACCATGAGGAGGATGAGTTTGATAAGCTCTGTATTTCTTCTCTAGGACTGTTCTTCACCGAAGAAGTTGGACTAGATGGCGGTGTAACAAACTCATCTTCAATAGCTTCTAGCTCTTCAAACTTTGTAAATGTGACGAGTACTCTAATCGTAGGAATTACGGGAATAGCAACCTGCAATTAAAAATCCAAATGAAATGAGCAAAAACCTGGACAAAAATGATGATTCTGAATTTCTGATCATAGAAGGTTATAAACAGACCTTGACTGGGAATGTTCCCGAAGGTAGTTTTGTGGTCATAAGCTCTCTCAAACGCCGAATTGCTTTGACTTTGTTTGCAAGGATATCGAGCAATGGAAGAAGCTCTTTTGTCTGTAATGGGAATCTCTCTGAAAGCCAAAGAACCGGTCTAAGCCCTTTCTTGTACTCATTCTCTTTGCTTCCTTCTTTTCGCTTGCTACTTCCACTGCCTTCTGATGTTGAAGCTTTTGATGAATCCCTTAATCCCCGGTTTTCGTCCCTCACAACAGTCTCAACCGTTGAGTGTCTTCCCGGTTTTATCGGTCTTCCTCCACGAGATGGAGAATCATCGTCCCCAAGAAGATCGCTTACTTTCTCATCGACACTAAGTGAACTTCTTGGAGGAACACTACTTCGTTTGTGCCCTTCCTCTCGTTTCCTCCATCCACTGAACCATCCTTTCTTCTCCTGTTTGCAATACCCGTTTCCATCCGTTACTGGAATCTCTCGATCCTCGAAAGAACAACTATTCTGCTTTTGAGAAATCCTAGAGCTCTCGCTGTTAGAAGATTCTTCCGGTGAATCCAACTTGAGTGCTAACTCCAGCTGCCTCTTCTCGTCTTCCGTCAAGATATCTCCAAGATCTTCGCTTTCTGTATCGTTTTCTTGATTAGTGTTTGAGAAAAGCTCCTCATCGGTCATTGCACCTGGTACTCTTCTTGATTTTATACTAACAACTACATTGTGCATATCATACACTTTTGCTTTCCATTGCCCAACCATTTCTGTCTTCTCTTGACGCCTCCATGTTAATTGCGGGAAGAGAACAGCTTGAGTAACATCGATCCCGGGTCTGAAAATGCTAGTTTTGGACATTGCGGCCACTTCTTGACGAACTTCTTCTTCTGATGCGGCAGCTCCAGCACCGTCTAGAGCATTCATAATCTCCTTATCCTTATGTGATATCATCAGAAGAGAACCGGAAGGAACTTTACCATCCTCTGACCCATCTCCAAGAAAAAGTATAGTCTGATCTGATCTTTGAATCCTGAAACCATCAAACCCAGCTAATGTCATATCCGCTCTAAGATTGGCACCCCTCTTCCAAATCTTATAAGTATCCGAAGGAGCCACTCTGGAAATGAAAGGTATAACAGAACTCTCGAAATGGAAAGTGATCTCCATATAGAAATCTCTCATTCTATGCATTGTAGCAAGAAGCCGAGGCAGCCTCCTGCACCATTTAGCCCAAGCTAGAGGCTGATAATGCCTAACGATAATCATAGCGATCCTCTCTTCTCTACCACAAATAGCTTCTTGTAGAGCGCTCCATCCGTGCTCATTCTGCAAGCTCCAATCAGCTCCTGCAGCCATAAGCATCTCTGCGGAGGTCTCATCACCGAGCTTTACAGCCAAATGAAGAGCAGTGTCTCGGTTAACTACATCACGCCTGTCTATAACAGCTGCAATTGAATCCGCTTTGGTCTCTTCAGCTACAGAAGCTGCTTCGTTTTTAACCTCAGACGGGTCACGCATCCTCGGAAGAGCGGATAATAGTTTCTTGAGACCGGCATAATCCCTTGTGACAACAGCGTGATGAACAGGACTGTGACCATACTTGGTAACATCAATGGTGCTTGCCATATCTCAGTAGTGGGATATAACAAACAAAAGCGCTTTAAAAAGACTCAATCTTTCACAAGGAGAAACCCAACTCAAGTTCCATCATCTTAAAACCTAAAACCCTCTCAACTAAGAAACACAAGTCTAAAGATTGCAATTTTCGACCAATTCATAACCCTATTTGTTGCAACTCTCCGATAGCAAACAAATCTGAAAAATTGGAGATAAAACCCAAAACCCAAACAAAATCCCCAAATGCCTAGAGTAAAGCCGACAACTTTTAACAGATATAAGACAGTAAGAATCGAAATTCAATCATTCAAACACCCGAAAACAGATCGAAATTCAAAACCCCAAACCCAGAAACAATTTGCCGAAAAAGGAAACTTTTTTGTATACCCAGATCAAGAAGCAGACCAACCACAAATGAAGCTAATCAGCTGCTGAAGTAAGGAACTTTATGTTATATCTCCGTATTTGAGAAATGATTCTAGCCTTTCCCCGAAAGCCAAAACAAAAAGAAGCCTCGAGATTCGTTGCTTCCGAGGAATCAGATCCGACCCAGATCGGGGAAAACCCACCCGAGAAGATTTTGTTATAGTGGGAAGAAGAGATCTAAACAAAGACAGAGAGAGAGAGATGATATGTGACACGGTTGAAAGAAAGGAATAACTTTTAGAGGCAGAGGAACCGAAGATGGACACGGTTCCTTTTGACTGTCTCCAATGGGAAGGTTCAAAGTCCGGTCGAGAAGCTTACATGGATTCTGGGAAAATAACTATTTAGATACGATAACCGTTAAAAATATTACGACAATGAATAATCAATATTAAAAAATATCGTAATAAATGAATATTAAATAGTCAGATTTGAAACTAAAAGTCATAGAAAAAATTAGCATAAAATATAGTAATACACAAACTAGCATTATTAAAAACGTAGGACTAAAATTGAAACAAAACAAATAGTACTATGTTATATTGGATGCAGAAAAAGCCAAATTGAAGGAAAAAAGAGAGGATATTTTCTCGAATAAATCATTAAGAAACCGCCAAAATAATTGGTTTTGAGGCAATTGGTGACTTGATTATCCCAATAAATGATTATTGTACTATGTTTTTGTTTTCTTAGTTTTGCTATTAAACAAATCCCAAACAATCTAATTTCTGACTTAAGACTTAAGACGGTTCTACCAAATCTAATTTCTGAAACACAATCGGCTTTTGTTGAAGGCCGCCTAATCTCGGATAATATTCTTATCGCGCAAGAGATGTTCCATGGTTTAAGAACAAATCCGTCTTGTAAGGGCAAATTTATGGCTATTAAAACAGATATGAGTAAAACATATGATCGGGTGGAGTGGAAATTTATCGAAGAATTATTACGAAAAATGGGTTTCTGTGAGAAATGGATATCTTGGATAATGTGGTGTGTAACAACGGTCCAATATAAGGTTCTTATTAACGGCCAGCCTAGAGGACTAATATTACCAGAAAGGGGTCTAAGACAAGGGGATCCTTTATCTCCCTATTTATTTATCCTTTGCACGGAAGTGCTAATTGCGAATATAAGAAAAGCGGAAAACGAAAAGTTGATTACGGGCATAAAAGTAGCAACAGCAAGTCCTCCGGTTTCTCATCTGTTATTTGCAGATGATAGTTTGTTCTTTTGTAAAGCCAACAAAGAGCAGTGTGAGGTAATTTTAAGGATCCTAAAGCAATATGAAGCGGTTTCGGGACAACAGATTAACTTCACAAAATCATCAATTCAGTTTGGTCATAAAGTGGAAGAAGCAATCAAGCCGGAAATAAAAGCAGTGTTGGGAATTAATAACCTTGGCGGCATGGGCTCATATTTAGGGTTACCGGAAAGTCTAGGAGGCTCGAAGACAAAAATATTTTCGTTTGTTAGAGATAGGTTACAAACAAGGATAAATGGTTGGTCGGCAAAATTTTTATCAAAGGGCGGAAAAGAAGTAATGATTAAATCGGTAGCTGCGGCATTACCAACTTATGTTATGTCATGCTTCAGACTACCGAAAACAATTACTTCTAAACTTACAAGTGCGGTCGCAAAATTCTGGTGGAGTTCAAATAGTGATTCTAGAGGTATGCATTGGATGGCGTGGAACAAACTGTGTAATAGTAAGTCGGAAGGTGGACTCGGTTTTCGCAATGTAGATGATTTTAATTCGGCTCTACTGGCAAAACAATTATGGCGGTTGATTACGGTCCCAGATTCTCTATTTGCGAAAGTTTTCAAAGGTCGGTATTTTCGCAAATCCAATCCTCTGGATAATATTAAATCATACTCTCCATCCTATGGATGGAGAAGTATATGTTCAGCTAGATCTCTGGTTAATAAAGGACTTATTAAAAGAGTCGGATCGGGGGCTTCCATCTCAGTTTGGGAAGACCCGTGGATTCCAGCTCAATTCCCGAGACCAGCAAGAAGCAACGGTTCTATTATTGACCCGTCGTTAAAAGTTAATAATCTTGTAGATACACGGACAAATTTTTGGAAGATGGATCTCTTAAATGAGCTCTTTATTCCGGAAGACGTCTCTCTGATATGCGCTCTGCATTTGGGTGCGCCAACAAAGGAGGATACTCTAGGTTGGCATTTCACAAAATCCGGAAAATATTCAGTTAAATCTGGATATCATACGGCCCGGCTAGAAAACCAGGAAAATAATTTGTCATTTATTGGCCCACAAATCAATTTACTAAAAGCACATACTTGGAAAGTGCATTGTCCGCCGAAGCTACGTCACTTTTTGTGGCAAATGTTAGCAGGTTGTGTTCCGGTCACAGAGAATCTGCGGAAAAGAGGGATAAATTGTGACATAGGATGTGCAAGGTGCGGTGCGGAAGTGGAAACTATTAATCATACAATTTTTGAATGCCACCCTGCACGGCAAATTTGGGCACTTTCGCAGATACCTACGGTTCCAGGAACGTTTCCTTCAGCTTCTATTTATGCAAATTTGGACCACTTATTTTGGAGAATACCCTCAGAATTCGATTCAACGTCATATCCTTGGATAATTTGGTATATCTGGAAAGCACGAAATGAGAAGCTTTTCGATAATGTGGATAAAGATCCACGTGAGGTTTTATGTTTAGCGGAAAAAGAGGCACAATCGTGGCAGGCAGATCAAGTCGAGCTACATGCTGAAAATCTGGGTTCGTTGGTTCAGGATACTCGACCTCGAGTAAGGGATATTTCTCAGGATACCTCTTATTCTGGCCATCGTTGTTTCATAGATGGATCGTGGAAAAAAAGTGATAAATTTTCAGGTACAGGCTGGGTATGTACCTTAGTTAATGGAGAGGCGCCAACCATGGGAGCTGCAAACCTGCGTAGAAGTCTCTCTCCCTTACATACCGAAGTGGAAGCTCTTCTTTGGGCAATGAAGTGCATGATAGGTGCCGATAACCAAGATGTGGCTTTTTTCACAGACTGTTCAGACCTGGTGAAGATGGTGTCTTCTCCAACCGAATGGCCGGCATTTTCAGCGTATTTGGAGGAGTTACAGAGCGACAAAGAGGAATTCACAAATTTTTCTTTATCTTTAATTTCTCGTAGTGCAAATGTAAAAGCGGATAAATTGGCACGAAATGTTCGTACCGAACCGCATCACATCACGTATGTAAACAACATTCCTCAGGAATGGCTCTTTTGAGTCTTAATTAATAGCGGTTGACAAAAAAAAAAAAAAATCCCAAACAAGTACGTTGTCCCGTATATGTTAAAGTTACGTACGTGATGAGAACGTTCAATGCGTTTAAATTGATTTCGAAATATATAGCAATTAAATTTAAAATCATAGACTTAGAAAATTCTATTTATTGTTGAAAGGTAAAGAATGCCATGAATTTCAACCTGTATTAAGTAATCAAATTGTTAACATCAGTTTGCAACTTTGCATTAGTTTTTATTCAGCTGAAATTTAAAATATTTCTATCAAACGTAATACGTTGAAATAAGAATTATACTGTGTTATTAAAAAGGGAGACTCACAAAAATGCCCCTTTTTCAATACTCTTTTTCAAAAATGCCCTTTTTGGCTGTCCATTTTTAAAAATACCCCTTTTTATATACAAAATGACTAAATTACCCTTCTTTTAATAAAAGATATCACAAATATATAAAGAAATATAACAAAATTAGGTCCACAAAATACAAAATATTTTTTGGCGGGAAAAGTGATCCTGCAATTTTTCCCGCCAAAACACTTGTAAAAATTTGTAAAACCTTTAAAATACCTTGTAAAATTTTCCCGTTAAATTTTTTCCCGCCAAAATTTTTTTTTTGCGTTAAATTTTTGGCGGGAAAAATTTACAAGGTATTTTAAAGGTTTTTTACAGGGTATTTATAAGGTTTTACAATATATTTTAAAAGGTTTTACAACGTATTTATAAGGTATTTATAAGATATTATAAGATTTTACAAGCTATTTTATAAGGTTTTACAAGTTATAAGGTTTTACAAGTTTTTTATAAGGTTTTACAAGTTATAAATACCTTATAAAACCTTATAAGTACCTTGTAAAACCTTTTAAAATACATTGTAAAACCTTACAAAACACTTGTGAATACTCCGTAAAACCTTTAAAATACCTTGTAAATTTTTCCCGCCAAAAAAATTGCGGAATCACTTTTCCCGCAAAAAAATTTTTTGGCGGGAAAAATTATTACGGAAAAATTTTTCAAAGTATTTTAAAGGTTTTTACAAGTGTTTTGGCGGGAAAATTACGGGATCACTTTTCCCGCCAAAAAATATTTTGTATTTTGTAGACCTAATTTTGTTTCAAATAAGGGTAAAATGGTCATTAGAAATTAAAAGAGAGCAAACTTAAAAATGGACTATCAAAGGGGGCATTTTTGAAAAGGGGTATTGAAAAAGGGGCATTTTTAACAATCTACTATACATTTTTGCAACACTTTTTGGGGTTCCAATCGGGTCAAAACATTTTTTAATTTTGACCCGGAAAATGACCCGGAATTTTGATCCGCAAATGTGATTTCGGAACCTAATAATGATATTTTCCAAAAAAAAACAAGAATTTCGGATTAGAATATCGGATCCCTACTAATGCGACTTTCCAAAACAAAAAAATCCTAACAATTGCTATGATTGATTTCGTATTTATCAACATTTATTACTAAGAATATTTTGGTTTAACATACATAGTTACAGGATCCAATTCGTTTCCTCTATTTAAGCAAACGAGTAACTTATAAATCATTTAGCTTTCCTAAAAAAAGGTAAGAATATCAATTCAGTATTCTCTCCACTTTCAATATTTGTCAACTTCTTCTAACTAAAATGATATTATCCTTATATGTTAACAGTATATACCAATTTCAATATTTTCATAGATATCCATACCGTGATGATCAAGATTTCTGATATGCTCTATCCCAAAACCCTAAGACTTGTCAAACCACTATATATACTGACTCATTTCCATTGCATTTCTCCACGTTTTACACCAATACCGTCTCTATCTAGAGCTTGAGAACATAAAAGCTCTTCAAAAAAGGTATGTTTAGTTTACCTTTGTTTCATTTCATACTTGCTTTATGGTTTGCAAAACCCCAAGTAATAGTCAGACATATGTATAAACAGGATTTTGTATTTTGTTAACAGATTCAATGCAATTGGGACGCTAAAGAAAGAACAACTTAGACTTTCAGTTGCAAGTTCTGCGGTAATCTTCATTATACTATCTCAAACAATGATAATTTCATCAAGTTTGGTACATAAAGTTTGTTTTCATCTTTTAAATTAGTGTATCATCAACAAACAAACAACCATTACTTTCCTCATTTGATTTTCAAAAAATAAAACATAACATGCACTTCTTGATTGTATATATTACTAAATTTAACAGCTCAGTAAGTAGAAACGTAAACTAACCTTTTATAGCTCTAAAGAAAGGTTCAAGAAGTATAAAAGGAGGTGTAAGCCGTATATTGAACCTAACAACTTCCTATGGAATATAACAGTGAACATGTTTCATACTTACTTAGTTGAACCTAAGCTAATTACTGAGTTGTGTAGTAAGCAAGATAATGAATTCTTACCTTTCATTTTGGTTGGTTATAGTACTTCTGTCAAAGAATTCCCAAAGCTTGACCATATTTACCTTATAGGTAATTGTCTGCAAAATTAGAATAAGAGAAGCTATAGTTAGAAGAAAACAGGTAATCAATGTCAATTCCTGTAACAACAGCTGTTTCACAATCGGGAATGGTCACTCATATTAAATCAATCCAAATTCACTACGATTTCATAAACAACCTAAAATTTAACCCATCAATTCATGGTTCATAAGCAACTTACACATTACACAAATAACCATTGGAGATGAGAGAGTGCTCTCTAACAACTTTATTCTCAAAAACAGTTTACCTGATTAGTAATTCGAGACGGATTGGCGTCTTCAAAACTGTCGTTATCATCAACTCAATTATCGACTTTGACATAAAACTGGCTTGGATATGCATCAGACAAAAATTCAACCTTTTTTAAGCTCGATTCTACTACCTAAAACATCACAACAAGCTCGATATGCCCCGATTAATCTAGGTGAAGTCTCTAACGAGGTAAGACATCGTAACAGAGAATCAAGCTCAACGTAAACATACTTGTAGATAACACGGAGAGTGACGAAATTAGAAGACGTTGGAGTAGAAGCTATAACCGGCGATTTTGGAGTCCTTGACCAGAGGAGAAGGTATAGCGAAAAGCCGTCGGAGAAGAAGATGGAACGATAAATCATTTTAGGGCTTTTAATTTCTTAATGCTTTCAAAACCGGAACCGGAAGTTAAACCAAAATTAATAGAATTGGTTCCAAATAAAAACCGGTATAGTCAAAACCAGACCAAAGTCTTATAAATTATTCAGTCCGAATCATAGGACAAGGTATTAGCGAACCGGTGTAAAAGATATAACTATAAATTGTTTTTACGGGTTGGTATAAAAACACACTAATTTAAAAATATAGATATTGTGAAAACCATTTGAAAATAAACTTTTAAAAAATAACAAAATAATGTTTAATTTCACAGGACGAGATTATATGGTGGGACGGGTTTGGGTCGATATTAATACAGACTAATATACCATGGGTGAAATCCTAGAATTAACAAATCAAAATACAATTACATAATTTTAAACATTAAACAAAAAAATACAGCTTAAAATTTTTATTTTTAGATACAACGCATATGACCCGCAGTGTACAATAATTAACCCGCGGTGTGACAAACGCAACGTTTAACTAAAAGTAGATTTTTAAAAGAATTTTACTGGGCTTGGCCCAAGTTTCTTATTTTTCGACAGCCCATTTGTTGAAATTCAAACCAAATTAGCCGAATAAATCGAGATTAACCGAAAATAACCAAATTAACTGATTTAACATAGTTTTAGCCGGCGGTGTACCGCGGGTAATTAATTAAAACATATTATTATCTCAAACAAACATACTTTCAGAGGAAAAATATATTTATAGCCATATTTACAAGATCAAAATTTAATATGTCCTTAATAAAATCAAGGGAAATTGTTAAAAATGCCCCTTTTGGTGTGCCCCTTTTCAAAAATGCCCCTTTTAGATGTCTATTTTCAAAAATACCCCTTTTTAAATCTGAAATTTTTATAAAGTTTTATCAGGTTTATAAGGTACTTATGGATTGTAACTACTACTTGAAGACTCGATCCAAATATTTATAAGGTTTTATAAGGTGTTTTTAAAGGTTTTACAAGTTATTTTAAAGGATTTTTAAGGTTTTTCAAAGGTTTTACAAGATATTTTAAAGGTTTTTAAAGGTATTTAAAATGCATTTATAAGGTATTTATAAAGTATTTATAAGATTTTAGATACATAGAAATGTAGTTTGTGTATGTTTTAATAATGTTACATACATATTTGGGTAAATCTTATATTTTTAAGAGGATTTTTAATAAAGTTTTAAAGAAGGGACATTTTTGAAAAGTAGCATTGAAAAAGGGGCATTTTTGCAAAAGCCCCAATCAAACTATTGTAAAATTTATATTGATTAAAATTTTTGTTATCCTTTACATCTAAATAAGTCATATAATACAAGATAATTAAAATCTGAGAATTATTATGTAGTATCAATTAGACGATTAATATAAAGGGAAATAATTTTTATGTAACACAAATTACGCGATTAAAACATGATATAATTGTTAATATCGAAAACTTATAACACAATCAAAATCTCAACCATCATACAAATATATATATATATCACCACAAAAAACAATCAAAATAAAATACAACCAAATATTATTTTCTTATAAATAACAAATAATAAAAATATAGCCTCGCGGTGTACCGCGGGTAACAATCTAGTTTCTCTATTAAAAAAGTAGCGGACAAAAACGACTAAAATCATATTCGTTTTGTAGTTATATGTGATAATGATAAATTTCGACGATTAATCGTTAATTCAGAATTTAAAACACTAAGGCCTTGATTGTTTATAGATTCTAGAATGGTTTTTGGTTTTTGATTCTTGAAAATCTATGTTTTAAAGTACTCGAGTTGGCAAAACATAATGAATCATCATCATTTGTAAAAAGAGCTAGTGAATAAATGCATGGTTTGGATTGCTATTATCAAAACTTTTACGAACTTACTATTTGTCTTGTTGGTTTCTAACTTCTCTGTTTACACTTTGACTAAGCATTTGACCGCAGTTTTAAATTGTGAAAGCCAATTTAAATAAAAAAGAGGATCTTAGCCCAATTTAATTGTGTAAGCCCAACATCATCAATAGACGACCAAGAACCCGACCGAGTAATCCCATACCCGACCCGGAATAATCTGAGGTCCAATCGTTGCACCCGAGGAAGATGAGATAGATTGATCGATGCTGTTGCTTCTCATCGAACAACTAGGGTTTCGACTCGCACATTCGAATCAAATTCAATCAGGTAATTTCCTCTTTCCTTTTGTATTTGTAGATGCGATAGATTTGTTCTCGACGATACTTTTTTCCACGGAGGAAGATCTGTTTTCGTTTCGGTGTATCTCAAATTCCTATGAATTTTCGCTAGTCTGTTAGTTTCATAGCCAAAATCCTCACTTTCCGATGATTATTAATCTCAAGTCATGCCAAATTTTTTTTTTTTTTTTTGTTGCCACTTCTGTGATCTTAACCTTTTGGGGGAAATTGTGTTTACTTAAGTGGGGTTTATGTTTTGAAAAGTCTCAAAACACGAATTTAAATCTCTTTAATCAGAAAAATCTATTGTTAATATATAAACATCATGTGAGCATTGCTTCAGTTTCTTTCTTGTTTAACTGTTTCAGGATGGAGGATATTGACATTGACATGGTAATCAGCATACCTGATACTCCAGATAGACCGGTACGACATAGAGAGGTTAAGAGAAGGCCACATTCTCCAGAACCACCATTAAGATATCAAAGTGAGGAATACCGTAATTGTCTTAACGGAAGAGCCAGACCAGTCCCTGAAATTGGGGACAACCGGGAAAGTTCTGATACACGAACTGAGAATGGACATCGCTCGCATGCTTCTGGAGGCAATGCTTTGTTTAGGAGAACTGTGGCTGAGAAGGATAAAGGGAAATCCATCTCCACTGATCCACGTGGGGCTCGCGTAGAGAAAAATCCGGTTTTAAATCTGAATCAACGTAACGGACATGCTCATGTTGCTGCATCGAGATGCTTACCATTTGAAGATATAAGAGAATTGCGCACAAGTAATGGTTGTTCTCCTTTACGAGGTGATCATAACTCTTTTATGCTGCCCGGGAATAGTAATAAGGGTAAAGAAAAAGCAGATTCTGGCTCTGTTTCTAATAGAGAAACAATTGACCTTTCCAGTGGCGCAAAACAACAGAACAGAGGCACTAAAAGATTGGTGAGACATGGCTGCATTTCTCCAAATGGAATTGCAGCTAGAGCTAGACAAGCTGCTGATACAAATTCCAAGGACACAGTTAGTGTTGAACTGGAACTAGCTCCTGAAACTGCATCTTTGATTGGCATAAGAGAGATTGTATCTGAAAATGATATTCACGGAAGAGCTAGAGGCAAAAGACCTGAAACTTCTCGTAGCAGGTAATATATTTTCCTTATCTTTCATTAGATGTTTGAATGGATATCAAAAGGATGGTTCTTTCTTCTTCTTCTTTTTTTTGTGATATAAGAGTTTCTATTCTTTGTATCAATGCAAATAGGGTGGCGAGTAGAGACGGTTCAGAGGGGTGGGTTAGTACACGTAACCGGAAATTAAATATGGACCAAGAATTGAATCAGAGGGATGAGAGTGACACACGCGGAATTTGTAGCTCTGTCTCCAGACTTGATGTGCATGAAACCGGTGTAGTTGAAAGAGAAGCTAGACAACAACGACGGCGGAAAAATGGATTTACTACTTCAACGGCTTCAAATGAGCCAGAAGTTACTGTTATTAGATCTTCTGGGGAACCATCTAGTTCAAGGCCACCAAGAATCCAGAATCATTTAAGACACGGCACACAAGTGTTGGAAATTGAAGATTCATCCCCTGAAGTACTGGTCTTCCGGGGTCCTAGACGTGTTGAAAACAATGTATCTGATGGGAATGTAAGACAAATAGAAGCAGATGAGATATTGGCCCGTGAATTGCAAGAACAGCTGTACCAAGAAGAGACCTTGATCAGACACCAGCAGGTACAACTCCCTTTTCTTTGGATATCCTCTATGTTTTCCATATCAATCAAGGTTTCAAATGGTCGTATTTGGGCTTCATACACTGTAACAGATTGATGAAAACATAGCAAGGTTACTGGAACAAGAAGAGAATTCTATTCGTGCTTCTTCTAGTCGTTCTTCTTCTACTCGTTCTACCCGAAACTCTAATACCGTAAGTCATGGCCAAGAGACATTCCCGTGTTAGCGTTTTTTTACTGGGTTCTTTCAATTTTCTGTGTTCAGATGCGAGACTAATCATTATCAAACATGGATGAGTTCTTTCGTAAACTTGCACTTAAAAAGAATCGGGTTTAGGGATCATCTTTAATGTCTTATTTCCTTAATGGATATTATTTACAGATTGCAGCAAACCGAGGTGGGAGAAGTCGCCTGGAAGCGCGACTGCAACAACATTCTTCAAGGAGGCGATTGAATCCTCCACAGGCTCGTGCTCCTGTTAGAGCACCAACTCGGGGTCGAGGTTATCGTTTAGGCCGTGCATCTGCTTCACTACACACAGCTCTGAATCTCAGTTTTCCATATGATATGGGCATAGAATCGGTACTCTTTTAACTCTGCTTATATCCGGAATGTTGCTTGATGTTGCTAAGTACCGTAGAACGAAAAGCTAATAATCCTTACCCTTTCTGTAACAGAGAATGGATCTTCTGGAGGGATTAGAGAATGCTATTGGACACTCTATTAACAATAGTAATCTTCTTCATATGGATCGTGACTTTACTGAGTATGGTATCTTTTTGATATATTTTTCTCATTAGCTTACTATGATTCTTCAGTATATGATATTTGATAGTTCAACCATTTTCGACGCAGAGATGATTACGAATTGCTGCTAGCTCTTGATGAAAACAACCATCGACATGGCGGTGCTTCTACTCATCGCATTAACAATTTGCCAGAGTCTACAGTTCAAGTAAGCTAAAGGTTGACTTGTAAAATCCATTTTTTTTTTTCATATCGAAATTTTGTTATTAAAAGTTTTCTCTTTGGTGTTTTATGTGTAATTTTGCAGAATGATAATTTTCAAGAAACTTGTGTTGTTTGTCTGGAAACACCGACGATCGGAGACACCATCCGTCATCTTCCTTGTTTGCACAAATTCCACAAAGATGTAAGGATCTCTAGCTTTACTGATTCAAATCAAAACCCCTTATAAGATCAGAAATTCGAAAACCAACCGTTGTTTATGTATTGTGCAGTGCATTGATCCATGGCTAGGACGGAGTAAATCATGTCCGGTTTGCAAATCCTCAGTTACTTGACCAGGTTTTCAAGCTCATCGGGGAATGTAACAAATTTACCATTTTACCCTTCCAAACCGGTGGATCTCCTCTGGATTCCTTTTGCTGGTAAGCCAAACATTCTTCGTCATGGAATTTGAACTCATTAAACGGTTTTTTACTACCGTTTACGCGGGAGAAAAAAACCGACAAAATAACGATTATTTTGTCGGGTTTAAATATTTCTAGCTAAGAACTGTTCGTAGATTTAGAATGTTGATATTATCACTTTAGTTTTGGTCTCGTTTAAACCTATACTTTATAATATAAATTTATATGCACAAGGCTTTGTTTAATCGTTATTCACTTTATTTACACGAAGAAGCAAGATACAATCATTTCAAAGAGGAAAACAAACTAAAGAGAAATGACATACATTTCAGTTATTATTGCATATTTAAATTTTAACGAATTAGAGATTTCATAAATGACAACATATACATGCATTGGATTTTAGCTTCTTATCAATGCACATTACGGTTTAACAAATTCTCAGTGACCTCCACCGCCGATTCCTCCGCCAATTTCTTTACCGGCTCCTCCGCCGATTCCTCCTATGGCTCCACCGTCAACTCCCTTACCGGCTCCGCCGTCAAATCCTTTACCGACTCCGCCCTCAAATCCTTTTCCGACTCCGCCATCAAATCCTTTACCGGCTCCTCCATCAAATCCTTTACCGGCTCCTCCGTCAAATCCTTTTCCAGCTCCACCGTCAACTCCTTTACCGATTCCTCCATCAAATCCTTTTCCGGCTCCACCATCAACTCCTTTACCGGCTCCGCCATCAACTCCTTTTCCGACTCCACCTCCGAATCCTCCTCCACCAAATCCACTGCCTATTCCTCCACCAAAGCCTCCAACACTGCCTCCAATCCAACCGCCACCTGCTCCAAAGCCGCCTCCACCGCTGATACCACCACCTAAGTCGCCGAAGCCTTTTTTGAAGCCCTTCTTGTGGAGGAGAGGACGAGGGTGAGGGTGAGAAAACAAGGGCTTCTCATCACCAAACTCTGTGTCTCCCATAGTAAAATTTGTGACCAAAGCAAATACCAAAACAAACACACACGCTCTACAGGCGATTAGACCCATGATTAGTGGAAACTTAAAATGTTTGTAGTTGAAATATTATAAGCTATTGAAAGAGGATGTTTTTATATGAAATTGCTTGTTGCATGAGCAGTATATATAGAGACTTAGAGAGAGAGAGATCGTGATAGCATAAGCACTTTTCGTCAATGTGCATAGTCTAAATAAACCGGAACACTTGGTTTACTTCGTATGAGATACCACTCCAGTTCTGTTTGTTTTTATCTTGATAAATGATAACCGAGGGATTCAAGATCAATGCGTTTACCGAGGCTAATGATGATTGAAATCACAGTGGAAATATCTGAAAACTCGAATTCTTCAATTAACAAAGTGAACACCAAGAATTGGTTATGGCAAGAAACCAGTATGGAGTAAACCAAAATATGCCCGGTTCAACCTGTACAACAACTGGGATATAATTGCTGTTGAGTAACAGTTAAATGATGTTTCACCGGTCACTGGACAAGTTTTATTTTCATTGTCTGCCCAACTGCCATATTGATCTCATCCAACAAAAAGAGAAAATTATGATGCAAATATAGTTGAAGAATTGGGGAACATATGACACCAATTATTATATACAGTTCATTGAATTATATTAATCATGCATTCATATCATAATTAGATTAAAATTTTATTTGAACGTTGTAAAGGGTTTTAAAGGGCCATAACAAAAAAAAAATTGTTTTTATCTTTATGCTTGCAGGACAGGCCATGTCAATTATATGGAATATTGAACTATAAGTCTATAACTAAACCATAAAATGTGATTTCATTTATTTGTGAGCATAACATTTTATAGGTGTCATCAATCAATGATGCAAACCAGAAACTCATATGCTTACTTCCAAACAAACAAATAAAGTTTTTTTTTTTTGTCTTCTTCAAATTTTAAAAAGAAGAGAAAAGAGAGACTAGATGCACCGGTATTAATAAAGCTCATGGTGGCACATTTTGAGCGTTACCAATTTGTTAAAAGTAATCAGATGATCAATGTGCAAATTGAAGGCTGCTTTGTTGATGCATCATGGATTATAATATCTAATAAGGATTATTGTGGTATTGCTTGGTCACAAAGCAAGATAAACAATTTACTTGAGGGACTTCACCACCGATAGTCTCTCTCAGGGGCGGAGGCACATTGATAGAAGGGGGGTCAGCTGACCCCAACTAATTAAAAAAAATATATACATTGTCTTTAAAGAAAAATTACAATGACCCCATGTAAAGAATAAGTTTGACCCCATTAACAAATTAATATAGAAAAATAAAAGGAAAACTTCTAAAAGTTGTGTTTCACTTTGACCTCATTTTATTTAGTTGGGTTCACATTTAAATTTTAATCCAATATAAATACAATTATGAATTTTTATCCATAAAAATATGAAATAGTGATATCATAAGTTTAGTTATGAGTAAACTTATAGATAGTATATTTATAGATTTTTATTTTGTTTTAGTAGTTTATAAATTATATTCTTTAAAAAAACTTTTTGACCCCAACAACAAAACTACAAAAGTTTCTAGATCCGCCACTGGTCTCTCTATTGAGAAGTTGAGAAGTTTTGGCCTTGTGTTTAGGAAACTTTGAAGCAAAAGGAGAGCACTATATAAACAGAGCATTAAACAGAGCAAAGTAGAAAAAAAAAGTCTGAAACTGAGCATCCAGGGACGAGTGAAGAAATAAGTTTCAAGATAAAAGTGGAATAGATAGATATGTATATGCTTTAATAACTTATGGGCCGCTATATTGGTCCATTAACACAATTAGATAAATAATGTGGCCCATCATTAGACCCAATTTGTATTCCGGTTCCTCGACTATATGGATCCATTATATATGTTAGGGGTGAAAATGTAATCTTATTAAAAATATAGGGGCATTGATTAAATTATTTGACTTGTTGGGTAAGTATCTTAATTATTCGATAAGTCCAGAATTTCGATTTTTATTAGACTTGTGAAAAAGTGAACTCTTCTTCTCTCATAAATTGCTCGAGACGAGCGAGGTTTCGCCGAAGCTCGATTCTTGTTCCTCCGTCTGATCAACTCTTCACCACCGCTAGGGTTTCTAATTCCGATTAGGATAATGGCCGCCGCGATGGTTAGTTCCGCCGGTGGGTTACTGGCAATGCTCAACGAACCCCATCCTTCCTTGAAACTTCACGCTCTCTCATATCTCAACAGATTGGTTGACCAATTTTGGCCTGAGATCTCCACTAGTGTCCCAATCATGTAATCTCTCTCTCTTCACTTTTTGTTCTTCCGGAGATTTAGGGTTTTTTAGTTGTCAATTTCACTTGATCTGTTTGCTTGCTGGGAATTTCCAGTAACACTTGTGGGATTTGGATGGGTTTTATCGCTCTTGCTTTTTCTTAGTTAGGTTTTTATATTCCAAGGTTTTCTACTGTTGTGTCGAGGTAGATTTGATGGTTGGTACATGAAAAGGAAAGCTTTAATTCACTAGTGACAAACTTTATTGAATTGCTTTAGTAAATTATCTAGATTCTGAATAGAACCATTGTTATTTGAGTTAAGGACGCTCCCTTACTTACATGATGCGGAAATTTTGTTCCTTTGAACTTGTAGAGACTATACTTTTCTGAAACTTCTAGCTTGAGATCTTACACTGTTTTGTGCTTCTTGATATCTTGTTTCTGAGACGTTTTTTTTTATTATTTTATTTTGTAGAGAGAGCTTATACGAAGATGAAGAGTTTGATCAGCAGCAAAGACAGCTTGCTGCGTTGTTGGTCTCCAAGGTACAGTTTAGCTTTTTATTTAACTTCCATGATGACTTATTGTATATAATACTGGCCACATGTTAGTGTAGAAGGGAGTGTAAGATACACTACTACATTATGGTCGTTTCCCTTAAAAGCTGGTAGATAGTGGTGGAAGTTCAGAGCTTGACTTTCTTCTAATCAAGTTATGTTATTGTATTATAAGACTTGTTTTCTAATGATGATTTATCTTGTCTTATCTCAGGTTTTCTATTACTTGGGTGAGCTTAACGATTCCTTGTCCTATGCCCTTGGAGCTGGATCCTTATTTGATGTGTCAGAGGATTCTGATTACATTCATACTCTTCTAGGTAAGGATTTTGAAGCTTTTTGCTATCCCCTCTCTTTTTGTTTTCTTCCCAAATCTGTGACAGTAGACAGTAGCTCGGATATTATCGACCATAATATGCATAAATTCACAATCATTCCAACCTGATTAAATGCAAGATTAAGCAAATAGTTTATACCATATAGTTTCTAACTAATTAGACTTGAACATCCATCTTTCTTTTAATAAGACTTGCACATCCATCTTTCTTTTAATAAGATTGTGCTACGAGAAAGTCAGTACGCAAAGGCATGATAAGATGGCTGATAGTGATCTTACTGTTACAAACTGTTTGATGCTGAATGTTTACTCATCGGATGCTTCTGTTTTGTTATTCAGCCAAAGCAATAGATGAGTATGCTATTCTCAGATCAAAGGCAGTCGAGTCAAGTGAGGATGTGGAAATTGACCCGAGATTGGAGGCCATTGTTGAACGAATGCTAGACAAGTATGTGATGCCCAACTGATTTATTGTTGTCTGTCTTCTAGACTAGTTTTTTGATTGTCCTTGCATGATTTTCTGTTTTGCAGATGTATCACTGACGGGAAGTATCAACAAGCCATGGGCATTGCTATAGAATGCCGGAGATTGGATAAGTTGGAGGAAGCGATCATAAAGAGCGAAAATGTGCAGGGAACATTGTCTTACTGCATCAATGTTTCCCACTCTTTTGTTAACCACAGAGAATATAGACATGAGGTGAGTCTTGTGGCCACAGAACTGGATTTTAATAGATGTAATATGTTTATTATACTATGAGGTCATCTTCTTTAATCTTTCCTTGCAAATATAATGGGCATGTAGACCTTATATTGTATTGTCTTAACCATAGTTGTAATTCATTGCATTCTTTAGTTCATAACTAAAAACACATTTGTAGGAAATTTTATTTACTGTTAATTTGTAAATGATAACATCCTTACGTCGCTTAATTCTTGCAGGTCCTTCGGTTACTTGTTAATGTCCACCAGAAGCTGGCTTCTCCTGATTATTTGAGCATTTGCCAATGCCTTATGTTCTTGGACGAACCACAAGGTGTTGCAAGCATATTGGAGAAGCTTCTTCGTTCAGAGAGTAAAGATGATGCTTTATTGGCTTTGCAAATTGCTTTCGATCTTGTAGAGAATGAGCACCAGGCATTTCTCATGAGTGTAAGAGACCGCCTTCCAGCGCCCAAGACCCGTCCTGTAGAAGCAGTTCAAGCTGTTGAAACCTCTACTGCTCAGAATGAGAACACTGAAGGGGATCTCCAGATGGCGGATGAAACTCCATCTCAGACAATTGTGCATGAAACAGATCCTGCTGACGCTGTGTACGCTGAGAGGTTAACAAAGGTTAAGGGAATTTTATCTGGAGACACATCAATACAACTGACCCTCCAGTTTCTTTACAGCCATAACAAGTGAGGCAGTTAATTTTCCTTTTAAATTTTGATATCTTGAAAGTATATTTTGTGCTTAAGTCGTTTCTTCCAAATAGTAACATGATTCAGCGATGGCCATTGTTTTTCTATAGATCGGACCTGCTGATCCTGAAGACAATCAAACAATCCGTTGAGATGCGGAACAGTGTATGTCACAGTGCTACAATATATGCTAATGCTATAATGCATGCTGGAACGACAGTTGACACTTTTCTCAGGGAGAATTTGGTAAAATTTTTACTTTCTCTCTCACTTTTTAACTTGTTTCAACGTCAACTATATGGCTTAGTATTTATTATTCTTGTCTTTTCCATTCATTTTTTGAATTGGCAGGATTGGCTAAGCAGGGCCACCAATTGGGCTAAGTTTAGTGCTACAGCAGGATTAGGTGTTATTCATAGGGGTCACTTACAACAGGGCAGGTCACTGATGGCCCCATACTTGCCTCAGGGAGGAGCAGGTGGTGGTGGGAGTCCTTATTCCGAAGGGGGTGCTTTATATGCTCTCGGTCTTATTCATGCCAACCATGGTGAGGGAATCAAGCAATTTCT